GGGGGGGGGGGGCAGAGGACAGTACTGTTGGGTGGGGCGGAGGGGGGGGGGGGTCAGAGGTCAGTACTGTTGGGTAGGGGGCAGAGGACAGTACTGTTGGGTGGGGGGGGGGGGTGATGTGAAAGGGGCAGAGGACAATACTGTTGGGTGGAACGAGGGGGGGGGGTGATGTGAAGGGGGCAGAGGACAGTACTGTTGGGTGGGGGCGGGGGGGTGGTAAGAGGACAGTACTGTTGGGTGGGGCGGGGGGGGGTGATGAGAAGGGGCAGAGGACATTACTGTTGCATGGGGCGGGGGGGGGGGGGGCAGAGGACAGTACTGTTGGGTGGGGCGGAGGGGGGGGGGGGGGTCAGAGGTCAGTACTGTTGGGTAGGGGGCAGAGGACAGTACTGTTGGGTGGGGCGGGGGGTGATGTGAAAGGGGCAGAGGACAATACTGTTGGGTGGAACGAGGGGGGTGATGTGAAGGGGGCAGAGGACAGTACTGTTGGGTGGGGGGCGGGGGGTGGGAAGAGGACAGTACTGTTGGGTGGGGCGGAGGGGGGGGGGGGGTGATGAGAAGGGGCAGAGGACATTACTGTTGCATGGGGCAGGGGGGGGGGCAGAGGACAGTACTGTTGGGTGGGGGGCGGAGGGGGGGGGTCAGAGGACAGTACTGTTGGGTGGGGCTAAGGGGGGGGTCAGAGGTCAGTACTGTTGGATGGAGGGGGGCATAGGACAGTACTATTGGGTGGGGCAGGGGGATGGTGATGTGAGGCAGGCAGATGTCAGTACTGTTGGGTGGGGGGAAAGAGGACAGTACTGTTGGGTGGGGGGGGGGGCAGAGGACACTGTTCCTGGTCCGTCCATACTTGGAGACTGACAACAACTTGAAGCGGTGCCGCAGCGGTCACATGTCCATTTGGATGAAGGGATCTCCTGCTGTTTTTGCATTTTCAATGCTAGTCTTCTGAATGCCCTGATGTGTCTCAGACGCCTCAGGTTTGATCCCACTGTAAAGTGCACATGTGTACGCAGACTGCCATAGATAACGCCCATATGTGATGCTGAGCCTCCACAATTGAAAGAATGAAAAGTGGCGGGGCCAGGGGAAAGTGCTAGATGGCGCTGGGCGTCCTCCAGCCAGGAAATGAGATGGGTTAACTTGCTGCAGCATCCAATGCACATTGTGAGACGCTCACAGCATGCGGTGAAATCAGAGTATGGGGGAGCAGCCGATACAACTGTGCGACACAGAAGGGACGGCTGCATTTTTAATGCACTTCTATTGAAGCAAACAATGAAGAGACTGTAGTGTGTTATGGAGCACGACTACCTACCTCGACACACCGGGCAGCAGGAGTCTGGGACAGTCATCGGGGAGGAACACACCAGCTCCGGACAGGTCACCAGACCGCAGTATATCTGTCCATCCTACAAAACAAGGACAACATAGCTGACATAAGGAGACGAATCTACAATCACTAAGTTACCCTATAGAACAGTAGCCAATATTGCCACAAATTCGGCAAGGCTGGTCCCCGCAGTTGTAACAATAATAAAAATGCAAAAAAAAAAAATATATATTATATATATATATATACACATATACATACATACATACATACATATACACACACACACACATACATAAAATATATATATTTTTTGAATACCTAAATAAAAAATGTTTAATATTGCTGAAAAATACAAAATAATAATTATAATAAAAAAGTACAATAATAATAAAAAAATGCAACTTGTAGTAAATACAAAATAATGATAAAATTTTTTATATATATATATATATATATATATATATATATATATATATATATATATATACACACACAGTATAGGCAGTTCCGGAGTTACGTACATATGACTCATAATATATAACAATTATAAGTACAATCACAATAATAAAAATGTAAAAAAATAAAATAAAATATTTTGAATACCTAAATAAAAAAATTATGAAAAATACAAAAAATAATAATAATACTTATTATAAAAAAGTACAATAATAAAAAAATGCAACCCATAGTAAATACAAAATAATAAATTACATATACATACATATATATATAGGCAGTTCTGGAGTTACGAACATCCAACTTACATCCGACTCATACTTAGGAATGGAGGCAGTGTGATGTCACACAAAACTGCAGAGCGGCCATCTTGCTGCTCAGCACATGCTGCCACCTACTGTCCAGCACACTTGTCCTTTTTAGCAATCCCACATAACTGCATGGCCAGTTAACCCTTCCCTATGCTATCCCAAAGTTAAAAATAATTTTTGGGCTGGAGTTGTGCTTAAAAAAATGTACCTGATACATATACACTCGGCCGGCCTCTTTATTAAGTCCACCTGTTCAGTTGCTAAATCAGCCAATCACACGGCAGCAACTCAATGCATTTAGGCATCTACATGTAGTGAAGACGACTTGCTGAATTTCAAACCGAGCATCAGAATGGGGAAAAAGGGGATTTAAGTGACCTTGAACATGGCATAGTTGTTTGTGCCAGATGGGCTGGTCTGAGTATTTCAACAACTGGTGATCTACTGGGATTTTCACGCACAACCACATACTATATATATTTATATATATATATATGGTGGTTGTGCGTGAAAATCCCAGTAGATCACCAGTTTTTGAAATATATATATATGTATATATTATATATATATATATATATATATATATGTTAACAATTTAGAAAAAAATACAAAACAATAATCAAAAAATAAGTACAATAATAAACAAATTTGAATTAAATATTTTTAAAAAAGCTACCTAAAAATGATTTAAAAATGTAGAAAAAAAAATGCAATAATAACAATCATAACAATAATAATAATAATAAATCCAGGTATGATCTGTGAATTTAGCTGTTTGGATGGAGTTCAGCTTTAAGTTAAATAAATTAAAAAAAAAATTACAGAGATGGGAAAAGTTTTCATCATCAAAACTACACAAAGCATACCCGCAGCAATGTGTGCACAAACACAAAAACCGCGTTCACGCTCTGAGAGGTTCTTCACATTTTTTCTTACCAGAAATGGTAGAACATAAGGACAGGGAATAATCGATCTGATTCATCCCACTCACCCATCTATATAAAAGGTGTATTTGTTCCCGTCTCCAGCCAGCCCAGGACTCGCCCGCTCACTGACCGTTGAGGCTGCCCCTTGGCCATGGACCTGTAACTGGAACCTCCCTGGATGTCATGACCTGGCCACCTTGGTACGGAGATCGGCCTTCCTCCATACAGGATATCTGATTTCTCGCCTCCCTCTCATGAACAGCAAAAATCAGAAAGAAATCAGCCGGAAAAGTGAGCAGAACCGTGTCAATGGCTAACAGAGGGCCGAGCTCAGACTTTCCTGGAACAGACGGGCTGAGGCTGCTGCCTGGCAGTGACCGAGTCCGGGCTATCCAAATATTGTGGCTTGGCCATGGCTGGAAGCATGGTGCCTACAGAGTGATGACATTCCACCACAGCCCCCCAATGACAGCTCAGAGCACCAGAAAAACACAAAGCCCCCCCCCCACTGCAAGGAGTAATGGGGCAGAGGACTAAGCTTCAATCATTCTCCTATTCCTGACTCTGCTGTGCAACCCAAAGCTTCTCCACCAAGGGGCTCCGGCTGGTGGTCCTACTGTGACGTCATCACGTACAATGGGGGGCCAGTAGTCCTACATTGTATGCAAGAATACAACCTGAAGGATTGGAGAGTGTACCATCCACTGCTCAGCAGCACCTTGTCCCTGTCAATATTCTCTCCAATCCCCTTCCTATACATACCATCCTCTGCTCAGCAGCACCATGTCCCTGTCACTATTCTGTCCGATCCCCTTCCTATACATATGTATCATCCTCTGCTCAGCAGCACCATGTCCCTGTCACTATTCTGTCCAATCCCCTTCCTATACATACCATCCTCTGCTCAGCAGCACCATGTCCCTGTCACTATTCTGTCCATTTCCCTTCCTTTACATACCATCCTCTGCTCAGCAGCACCATGTCCCTGTCACTATTCTGTCCAATCCCCTTCCTATACATACCATCCTCTGCTCAGCAGCACCATGTCCCTGTCACTATTCTGTCCATTTCCCTTCCTATATGTACCATCCTCTGCTCAGCAGCACCATGCCCCTGTCACAATTCTGTCCAATCCCCTTCCTATACATACCATCCTCTGCTCAGCAGCACCACATCCCTGTCATTCTCTCTGATCCCTTTCCTGTACATATGTACCAACCTCTGCTCAGCAGCACCATGCCCCTGTCACTATTCTCTTCGATCCCCTTCCTATACATACCATCCTCTGCTCAGCAGCACCACGTCCCTGTCATTCTCTCTGATCCCTTTCTTATACATATGTACCATCCTCTGCTCATCAGCACCATGTCCCTGTCACTATCCTCTCTCATCACTTCCTACACATGCAATCCACTGCACAGCAGCACCACGTCTCTGTCACTATTCTCTCTCATCACTTCCTATACATACCATCCTCTGCTCAGCAGCACCACATCCCTGTCACTATTCTCTGATCCCCTTCCTATACATACCATCCTCTGCTCAGCAGCACCATGTCCCTGTCACTATTTTATCTGATCTCTTCCTATATACAGGTGAAACTCGAAAAATTAGAATATGGTGCAAAAGTTCATTTATTTCAGTGCAGCAACTTAAAAGGTGAAACTAATATATGAGATAGACTCATTACATGCAAAGCAAGATAGTTCAAGCCGTGATTTGTCATAAATTGTGATGATTATGGCTTACAGCTCAAATCTCCCCAGTGTGGGTGCAGACCCGGCCAGGGCTCTATTCCTTCCTTGCTTTTAGTGGCAGTGTAGGAGGACATTTTTGAACAACGTGACCAAAAAGACAGAGTTAGAGCAAAGGGGGGGGGGGGGGGTAACATACCGAACAACTGCACTGCACACACTGGTTGGACTGTCGCGATGGGAAGAGCTCATGCGTGGTAAACATCTCCCCTTGCTGGTAGGTCGTCCCGTTATGCTGGCAGACTTTGGGCGGAGCTCGCAGTCCGGAGGGTGTCTCTGCAGAAAGAGTGCACATCATGGTCTGGAGAAAGCGGAGATACAGACAAAAATATTTTTCTTTTTGCTTTTTTTTTTTTTTTTTTGATAAATTGTGAAAGGGTTAAAGAGAAACAATCTGACCCATTCACGTTTTTTTTTTTTTAAATAAATTGTGAAAGGGGTAAAAGGGAAACAATCTAACCCTTGCACTATTTATTAAAAAAATACATTAATGGGTCAGATTGTTTCCCTTTAACCCTTTCACAAATTTATTATAAAACAAAAAAAAAAAAAAAAAAAAAAAACATGAATGGGTCAGATTGTTTCCCTATAACCCTTTCACAATTTATAAAAAAAAACCCCAGTGAATGGGTCAATTTGTTTCCCTTTAACCCTTTCACAATTTATTAAAATAAAAAAAATACATTAATGGGCCAAAGGAAAACAATCTGTTTCCAATCTGACCCATTCACATTTTTTTTTTAAATTTTTTTAAAAATAAAGTGCGAAAGGGTTAAAGGGAAACAACCTGACCCATTCACGTATTTTTGTTTTTGATAAATTGTGAAAGGGTTAAAGGGAAACAATCTGACCCATTCACTGAGCTTAACAGCTTAAGCTACTGAGCTACGTAAACAACATTTTTTACAACATTTTATTTTTTTATTCTTAAAAATATAAAAGAAAGAAAATGTGCAAAAACTGCTATACATTCCCTTTCCAAAGGGGGGTCACTGAGAGCCTTCCTGGTCACTGAGAGCCTTATGGAGTAGGTCTTTTTAAAACCTTCAACTGAAATGGGAACTACTGTGGTAGAGGATCCAGGAACAGTGTGCTACGCGGAAGACCATAGAGCCAATTGGCTGCTGTAGTAGGATCTGTGTCCACCAAGTTATAATCCTACACCCACAGTTGATCCAGAGCAAGGCAAAAACCCCAGCAAAACATGATCCAATTTGCTCCTGCTGGGAAAAAAAATTCCTTCCTGATCCCCTGAGAGGCAATTGGATATTCCCTGGATCAACTTTACCTATAAATGTTATATCCAGTTATATTCTGTGTATCCAAGAAAGAATCCAGGACTTTTATGAAGCAATCCACTGAGCTGGCCAGAACCAACTCTTGGAGGGAGTCACTGAGAAGCTGATGGAGTGGGTCATGTTGGAGGGCCTTCAACAGTAATAGGAGCCACTGTGGCAGAGGCTACAGGAACAGTGAGCTACGTGTTAGGCCATAGATCTGGTTTGCTGCAGTAGTAGGGTGTGAGGCAGCACCAAGCTTGGGTAAGGGTGTCTTTAGGACAACTGTGGTCCGAATCTCAAGCCATTCATGGTCACTGCGAACCTTACAGAGTGGGTCATGTTGAAGAGCCTTCTACAGTAAAGGGAGTTGCTGTAGCAGAGAATCCAGGAACAATGAACTACTTGATAGGCCATAAATCTCATTGGCCACTTTAGTAGAATGTGAGTCAGAGCACCAAACATGGGTTAGAGTGCTTCCAGGACAACCGCCGTCTGATTCTCAAGCTGCTCCTGGTCACAACCAACCTTTATAGGTCATGTTGATGAATATTTAACAGTAGCAGAAGCTGCTGTGGTGGAGGATCCAGGAACACTGAACTATGTGTTAGGCTATAGATCTTGTTGGCCCCTGTAGTAGAATGTGAGTCAGAGCATCCACGCCTGGGTTAGAACGCCTTCAGTACAAATGTGGTCTGGTTCTCAAGCCATTCCTGGTCACTGAGAACCTCATGTAGTGGTCATGTTGGCCTTCAACAACAATGGATGCGTTGGATGTTTTATCTTGGTCTCTCGATCTTGGACTCTTTTATCCGATTTCAGTCTGGCCTTCCTTTCTGTATTTCTAAGTTTTAAACTTTTTTTTTTTGATTGTCATTCCCTGTACAAAGTGTTGGCTGTTATTAGCTATACCATGACTTGGATAAAGGACAACCCTTACAGAACTATTTCCACCAATAACTCTTGTATTGCATGTTCTATTACGGAGATTTTCCTTCTCTTCTGGAACCAATGTCATTGGGTCAGAAAGTAAAGGGAAAGCTAAAGTTTTCATAATTGTGAAGGGAACTGGAGTAGTGGGAAAATCTTCCAATGGGGACAACTGTTTTGGTGAAAATGGTTGAATCTCAATTCGGAGAGATTTCCTCTGTTATCCTGTTGTATCTCCTGTTGAGATCGCCCAAGTAGGACACAACAGCAAGGAAAAAACTCTCTTCTTCTAAGTATTAATATCAGTCACTAGTGGTTTGGCAATTGCAGCTTGCTTGTGAGTGTTTTGCATTTGGAGTTTCCTCCACACAGTTTTTTGTGGACACGGGCTTCGGAAGACTGAGATTGAGCTCTTCAGTCACTTTTGCAGTTGTTTTCTTATTCCGGGTCACATTCCTGCGCAATGTCCTTTTCTCTCTTTCGATCAGTTGACCATGTGGACTGCGCTTATGATCATCAGACGACGTTTTCTCGGAAATCGTATACAACGTCATTTCCTTTGATTCTGTATCTTGCGACACGGCAAATTAGTTGGCAACTTCGGTCTTAGCGGCACCAACAATCTGCCTTCTTTGAAGCTCAGTAAGCACTGACATGACTGCGTATTACTAGCAGCGCACGCAGTGAATGATGAAAGTGAGGATTCCCACCTGTTAGCTAGGTGTCTCATCACACAGCGGGAGCAAAACAATGTCACAGCACTTCCTCTTTCAATGTGAAATATGTCATCAATTTCATCAAGTGTTTCCATATTTTTGTCTAACCCCTAACCCCTTAATTCTCTGCACTGTTGCTCTTCCCCAGAAACGTCCATTCTCACTACTGCCCCCTAGTAGTGTACTGGCTATGTTAACAGCTCTCCTGCACCCTGTCCTTCATTCAGATATTATTATTATTATTATACAGGATTTATATCGCGCCAACAGTTTGCGCAGCGCTTTACAATATAAGGGAGACAGTACAATTACAATACATTTCAGTACAGAAAGAAAAGGAGGGCCCGGCTCGTGGAGCTTACAATCTAAAGGAAGGAGGAGGTGATACAAAAGGTGATAGCTGCGGGGGATGATTTGGTGGAGGTGATTCAAGTACAGTTCTTAGGTGGAGTGGGGTAGGCTTCCCTGAAGAAGTGAGTTTTCAAATATCGCCTAAAGGCAGACAGGGTGGGGGCTGACCGGACATGCTGTGGTAGGGAGTTTCAGAGGATGGGAGAGGCTCTCTGGAGAAGTGCTGGAGGCGAGCGTGGGAGGAGGTGATGAGGGAGCTAGAGAGGAGGATATCATGGGAGGAGCGGCTGTTATGACCAATTAGACTTTGTCCCAATTGACAATGCCAGGGGTCAAAGAGAAAGATCGCTGTGAAGGGGGGGGCATCAAAAATTTGCTAATGGGGCCCCATAAATTGTAATTAAACCTTTGCCCAAGACTGAAGTGTCTTCACTATTCTCTCCATAGGCATAGGCCTCCGGTATATGGCCCTTTCTGCACCATAAAGATGATTCTGAAAATACTTGTTACATTCCTGCTAATTAAATGATTGGGTTTCCTCCCAGCCTCCGGTTTTCCATGGTTTTTAAGGATCTGTATATGAGGTGTGACAATTTAATTACCGTAATGCCCGCGGTGGAGCACTATGGTGGTAAGTCACGCAGCCATTCGCACTTGAGCGTGTTCTGACATGTTCTAACCTGCACTCTCCGGGGTCGCAGACCAGTTGGCTCAGTCTTCACAGAGTAGTAGAAGAAATAACACGAGTGTGCGCAACATCATGTACTATCGATCAATGGAAGATCGTATCATGGTCCCATAAATTGGGCTTCACATGGTTTCCAACCACTGGACATGTTTACGTGTGGCAAACACCATCCCAAGCTCACCACCAGGACTGTCTTGTGCCAACGGTAAAGCATGGTGGTGGCTCAATCATGGTTGTTGCTGGAAAATGAGTGACAGGCACCTGGAGATCACACAAACATCATATTTTGCGTGAAATTTGGCAAAAGTGCGATTGAAACGTTAGCTCTGTTACAACAGGCTTAAGATGAAAATTCCATGAAGAAGTCAAATGTTTTAAAATATCAGAAGTGGTTTAATGAGGGACGGAAAGACATCCACGATGGCGAGGTGGGCAGCCAAAAACACAGAGGATGGACGCAAACGTGGAAAATGAAAAGGTTGTGGGAATCTGCTTGAAGGAAAAGAATGAAAGTCTGGCCTGACAAGTGGATTCTCCACCAAGACAATGCTCCTGCATATGATGCGTTAAGTGTTCGAGTTCCTGGCCAAGAAATCTATTCCAAAACTTAATCAACCACCTTACTCCACTGACTTAGCACCCTGCGACTTTTTGCCTGTTTCCAAAATGAGAAAATGTCTTAAAAAGGACACAGATTTGATGACACTCCAGACATCCAGCACATCACGACAAAGATACTGCGTTCCGAAAGAAACAAATTCCAGGAATGTTTCCAGCAGTGGCTCAGTCATCTAAAAAAAAGTGCATCGCTTCACAAGGGGACTACTTGGAAGGTGACAACAGCCGCTAGTGTATAGGTAAGCAAACATTTTTTATAGTCCATTCCAGGAATTAAATTGTCACACCTCGCATATGGGTTGGTTGTGTACAGAGTGGATCAGCACTAATACATACACAAAAGTATTGGGCCGCCTGCCTTTCCACGCACATGACCTTTAATGGCCTCCCAGTCTTAGTCCGTAGGGTTCAATATTGAGTTGGCCCCGCCCTTTGCAGCTATAACAGCTTCAACTCTTCTGGGAAGGCCGTCCACAAGGTTTAGGAAGGTGTCTATGGGAAGGTTGGACCATTCTTCCAGAAGCACATTTGTGAGGTCAGGCACTGATGTCGGACGAGAAGGCCTGGCTCGCAGTCTCCGCTCTAATTCATCCCAAAGGTGTTCTATGGGGTTGAGGTCAGGACTCTGTGCAGGCCAGTCAAGTTCCTCCACCCCAAACTGGCTCCTCCATGCCTTTATGGACCTTGCTTTGTGCACTGGTGCGCAGTCATGTTGGAACAGGAAGGGGCCATCCCCAAACTCTTCCCACAAAGTTGGGAGCATGAAATTGGCCAAAATGTCTTGGTATGCTGACGCCTTAAGAGTTCCCTTCATTGGAACTAGGGGGCCAAGGCCAACCCCTGAAAAACAACCCCACACCATAATCCCCCCTCCACCAAACTTTACATTTGGCACCATGCAGTAAGGCAAGTACCATTCTCCTGGCAACCGCCAAACCCAGACATGTCCATCGGATTGCCAGACAGAGAAGCGTGATTGGTCACTCCAGAGAACACATCTCCACTGCTTTAGAGTCCAGTGGCGACGTTGTTTACACCATTCCATCCGACACTTTCATTGCACTTGGTGATGTAAGGCTTGGATGCAGCTGCTTGGCCATGGAAACACATTCCATGAAGCTCTCTACACACTGTTGTTGTGCTAATCTGAAGGGCACACCAAGTTTGGAGGTCTTTAGCGATTGACTCTGCAGACAGTTGGCGACTTCTGTGCGCTTCAGCATGCGCTGACCCCGCTCTGTCATGTGACGTGGCCTACCACTTGGTGGCTGAGTTGCTGTTGTTCCCAGTTGCTTCCACTTTGTTATAATCCCACTAACAGTTGAGCGTGGAATATTTATTAGCCAGGAAATGTCATGGATGGACTTATTGCCCAGGTGACAACCTATCACGGGACCACGCTTGGAGTCACTGAGCTCCTGAGAGCGACCCATTCTTTCACAAATGTTTGTAGAAGCAGTCTGCATGCCTAGGGGTGTGATTGTATACACCTGTGTCCATGGAGGGGATTGGAACACCTGAATCACATGATTTGGAGGGCGGGCCCAATACATTTGGTATTATAGTGTATATACTACCCATATGGCAATCGCTGTGAACACAGCAAATTTATGGCAGGAGACGTCTACTCCACACACTCTCAGGCCACTTACCTACACATCTGGGGCAGCACTGCTGCGGGTCAGTGACAGTGTGGATGCATTGCAGGACCGGACACTTTATCTTGTAGCAGGTGACACTCCCGCTCTACAAAACACAATGTTTAAGATTAGTTATTATTATTATTATTATACAGGATTTATATAGCGCCAACAGTTTGCTCAGCACTTTACATTATGGAGGGATACAGCAAGAGGGAATTGAGGGCCCTGATCCTTGGAGCTTACAATCTAGGAGGGAGGGGTGAATGGTACAGTAGGTAATAACTGTGTGGGATGGACTGGTTGGAAGAGTAGAGGATTCCAGTATTAGCAGAGGGCGCCTAAAAGTAAGTAGAGTAGGCGATAGTCTGATAGATTGGGGTAGGGAGTTCCAGAGGATGGGCGACACCCTGGAATGTAGTTGGAATGTATTGTCTTGTTTTTCCTACTGACTAGGATGGAGACCTCTTGCTGCCATTCATGAGAGAGCCTCTGGTTATTCTGGATGACAAATGTCCAACTACTGACCATTCTACAAACAGGCTAAGAATGAGGTCAGCATAGGCAGCTCCTGTATTTACTAAGAAGTCTTAGCTGTGCCCCTTATCTCCAGCAAGCTGACTAAGCACTTCCCTGATCTAGCTTCCAGTGCCTGAAACATGTTAGACTGGCAAGAAAGTCCTACAGATTAAGCTCTTGAGTCATCATTGCAGCTTTCACTTCTGGGTATGGGGAGCATGTGGTTTACTTGCCTTCATCTCATGAGCTGCTGATTGGCCATGGAGGCACCCAATGCTGTCACATGCGGGTGGCGAGAAGGTCTACTGCATTATGTATTCTCAGTCATGATACGTGGTCAGTGGTGGACTGATAACACATGCGGCCCCCAGGCAATAGGGGATCATGGGGCCACTGTGTCCTCGTCCACACTCAAAAAAGCCTATGAAAAGGTACCAGGGGCATCTCATAGGGCCCCCTACTGACCCTGGGCATCGGGCAGTGCCCAAATGGTCAGTCCGCCCCTGCACGTGGTTTTCTCTCTTCACTCAAGCACATGAACGGAGCGGTGGAGGAGCAAAGATAATTTGAACCTAAGCAGCTTGTTGGGTTGGCTTTAAATTGGTAGTAAACCCCAAATCAAACATTTCTTTAATTGCAGCTTACCATTTCTTAGAGGCGGCGGTGTCATGTGTCACATGACTGTCACATGCCTTTAAGTGTTCTCTATATTTTGTCTCTGCTCCTCCCTTTCCTCTGGTTTAATTCATGCTGTATAGAAAGCTCCACCCTTTTCCCAGTAATGCATTGCATTGCCTCATGTCATGAAGCAGATCACATTATGATCTTTTGACCTATCTGATGTTCATTGTAAGATTCTCTCAACTTATGGAATAAACTTCACAAGATCTACAAGGTGTCATCTGATCGAGTCACTGCCTGTGTTATTCAACTAAGATTGGAGTTTTCGCTATCCCTACCACAACTGTAAGTTACAGAGATCACACTTTCAATGCTTAGATTGGAGAGACAGAACACGCGGCTGCATTCGTTTTCTTTTTTTAAATATTCTTTCCTTTATTTTCACCTGGACATCCGGGCAGTAATTCAGGCCATAGACGGGTTGATAACCGTCCGTTTTTAAAAAAAAAAAACAAAACAAAAAATCGGTCGTTCAATAGGCCGACGTTACAACCAACGGTAAAAAAAAAATTGTCCGATTTTGTCCCGTCTACGGCTGGCATTTAATTACCTCTGTCCCTGCAGAGAGCTCCGCTATTATATTTGACATGAAAAAGTATTGTGGTTGCAACAATGTATCCATTTGTATCCATTTTGGATACAGATGGTTTTATTCGGATACAAATGGATACATTGTTGCAACCGCAAGACTTTTCATATAAAAAATATTATAGCGGACTGGAATGCTTCTTCTTTTTCTTCCTCTTCTTCTTCCTCTTCCTCTTCTTCCTCTACTTCTTTCTTCCTCTTCCTCTTCTTCTTCTTCTTCTTCTTCTTCCTCTTCCTCCTCCTCTTCTTTTTTTTGTCTTTTCTTCTTTTTCTTCTTGCAGGTCACAGCTCATGCACAGATTTTTTATCGGTAAAAAGATCGGCCGATTTGCCCATGATTGCTGGGAAAATCGGCCGATCGGCAAAATTGGCCGATTTTTTTCCAGCTTCACCGATAAAAAAAAATGTGCCAAAACCCCCAAAAACGGCCAACCAATTAACCCATTAACGGTGTGAAAATCGGTCAATTTTTTTTTTTTGGCCGAATTTCAACCCATCTATGGCCTGCATAAGTCTGTTTTTTTTTCATTTTTCAAAAGAACAAGCAGTCCTGCAGATGTATCAGTTACAGGGATGAGACAAACCATTTACCACTGGCAGGGGGTGCTTACAATGCAGGGGCTGACTGACCATTTGGAAGCTCGGGCACTGCCCGAGGGCCCGGGGTCAGTAGGGGGCCCCATGAAATGCCACTGGTACCTTTTTCATAGGCCTTTTTGAGTTTGGGCAAGGACACAGGGGCCCCATGATCCCCTATTGCCCGGGGGCCCCATGAGTTGTCAGTCCGCCTCTGTTACAATGATCAGCTTTTATTTATTTCTCTAAAACCTTTTATGCAAAACTGTTGCTGTAACTGATTATAAAGCATAAGCTGGAGTTTGGCTTCAATTTGTTTATGTAATTCTGCTTGTGTATCTAACACCCCCCCCCCCTTCCCTCCAGACTGATGCTGCTGTCTAAATGTACCCCCTGTGCTCCTTCATCCAGAGTGGGGGGACTGTAATACAGGAGGTGGGTGACTGACCAAAACAGGTGAAAACAGAAGGGAAAAAAAGACTAAAAAAAAAAAAAAGAAAACGAACGCAGCCGCCACATCTAATGATTGGTAAGGTGTGCATAATTGGTTTTGGGGTCAATGCTGCTTTAAAATCGGTCTGAGTCCGGATTCACTTTAAATATGGACGAGTTGCTGTCCGAATACAATTTCAATCGCATTTTCACATTTGTTTCTAGAGGCAGCTTCACTTTTTTTTTTCTTTTGCTCATAAGCTCTTATTTATAGCAGTGTGTAAAATATAACTAGGAGTGCGATCTGTGCCAACACAAACCTGGCACCCGCTATACACCAGTCCCAGCAGAAGTGCCCTGCAAATACGGCTAAGAGTTAGAAAAGGTGTCATTAAAATGTTATTGATGGACAGCAACTAGCTCCAGGGTCCCTGAGCATGACAGGCATGGCGTGATGACGTCACAGCCCTATGTTATGACTGCTGTGTTTGCACAGGGCGCCATCCCTGGGTAGCACACGGTTAGATTTTAGCTGCTTCAACCAGTACAGCTCTCCCCTTGTACACCCTTCGTCCCCTTGTATGAACCTGAGCAATTTTTACATTTCTGGGCCTGTTTATTCTGGAATAGCATTGTCATTATTACAGTGGAATTAAAATGCTCCCACCCTCCTAAAACTTACCCACTCTGAACCGGTCATGTGATCCCCTGCGCCTGTGTCAGGGTCCTGTCTACGGCAGAGGTTCTGGAAGATCAGGCATTTCTGCCAGTACTCTGCATGGCCGCAGAAGCACACATCAGCCTCAGTTTGGTGCCTTGATAAGGAGGCTTATCACTTCCTCTGGTTGCTGGATGATCTTCAGCGCCCCGTTCCGGTTTCCTGTGATTCTGACCTGTGATTTCCTGTTACCGACTCGGCTTGCTCCTGGACCCTTCTACTCTTCTTTACCCCTGATCTGACCTCGGCTTGGCTTACAGATACTCTCTCTCTCTCGCTCCTCTGTGTATGACCTCGGCTATTCCATCTGACTACGTCTGCTCTGATTCCCACCTGGTACCTGACCTTGGCTTGAACCGACTACCCAGTAAACATCTAAATCCCGGAAGGGCTTACATACCACGCACAGGCACCTCCTGTCTGCAGACCTATCTCCGTGCACCAGCCGTGCTTCTGAGTGGACCACCAACCAGCACTCCTAACACAGGCGACCTGTGCAACCTTGGGCCTGACTCCCGCTGTCCCACTCTCAGGGGAGTCTGGAACTTAGCCGCAAGGGAAGCCCTCTCTCCACTGGCCTCCATCACCAGGTACGTGATAGCCTGCAGGGGAGAGGAGGGAGCACTGACAACTGATGGGCAATAGGAGCCTATGGGTGACGTCACCACGCCAGTCATACCAGCCAACGTCAGGGCTTCCTCTTCTCCCCTGCAGTGGCCGCTGGCTGACACAGAGGATCACGTAACCGGACCTGAGTGGCGTGGAAACAGGTATATATAGTACATCTTCTTACACAGGTCAGTCGGCATACGTGTTAGGAGGAGGGAGAATTTTTAGGACTAGTTCAGGGGTGGACTGACAACTCATGGGGCCCCTGGGCAATAGGGGATCATGGGGACCCTGTGTCCTCGCCCACACTCAAACCACACCCAAAAAAGCCTATGAAAAGGTACCAGGGGCATCTCATGGGGCCCCCTGCTGACCCCGGGCCCCTCGGGCAGTGCCCGTGTTCCCGAATGGTCACTCCACCCCTGGACTAGTTACAACAAACCACTTTAGGACTGCCCGCCAGCATTGCACTGTGGACGAGCAGCTCCTACAGGCACAGTGACATACCGGTCGCTACCTTCTTCCGAGTTCAGTTCAGTGAAACTAAAGTTTTCTCATTCGCTCCTTCCCTTGGCAGCTACATAAAAGTTTACGTAAGGAGCTGGGCCAGCACACACAGTAATTAGACACTCCCAGAAGAGGAGAGGGCTATGACATCCAAGGAGGGTCGGGGGCTGTGCTAAGGAAATGACTCCTCCTCCTCAGGACGATACCCCTGAGGAAGTCATGCGTGCGGCGATGAAACGCGTTGGGGCGGGCCTCCGATGAGGTCACAACGCTCTACTGGGTAGCGAGTGCAGCCACCAAATGAGCAGTGGATGCGGCATTGCACTGGACCACTGATTTCTCTCTCTCGTTATCGCATGCTGGTATATTTGGCACGATTGAGCACCTAAGACACGTGAGTGCAAATTTTATATGTTTTAGGATTGAAATAAAAGTCTTACACGGATAAAGCACTCCGATTCGTTTATTTGGATGAG